TAGAATCGATGGACATATAAAAACTTTCCCAGACAAGAAAAAGTTAAAGGAGTTCATCACTACCAAACTGTTATTATATGAAATGATGAAGGATCTTTTTAAAGAAAAAGATAAAATATATGAACAAATATAATGGCAATGAATACATATCTATCAACAATGGAATCTACAAACAAAATGAACAGGAAGAACAGGAACATTCTCATAGATACAGAGAACATTTTGTTGGTTGCCAGTTGGGAAGGGGGTTGGGGAAATGGGTGAAAAAGGTGAAGGGATTAAGAAGCACAAATTCATTGCTAGACTGACAAACCTCAAAGGGAAAGGGGTTGGGGGGGTGGGAAGAGATAAACCAAAGAACTTATATGCATAACCAATGGACACGGACAATAGTTTGGGAAAAGGTGGGAGGGGGGCGGGAGGGGGGAGGAGGGGGTCAATGGGGGAAAAATGTGGAACATCTGTAATACATTTTACATCCAACAATAAAGATGTGGAAAAATAAAAAAATAAAAATAAAAACACTTAAAAAAAAAATGTCATTTCAGCCTGGCCAGTGTGGCTCCCTGGTTGAGCATCAACTCATGAGGTCACCAGTTTGATTCCTGGTCAGGGTACATGCCCAGGTTGTGGGGGGCATGTAGGAGGTGGCCAATTGATGTTCTCTCTCATCAATGTTTCTATCTCTCTCTCTCTCTCCCCCCCTTCCTCTCTATCTAAAATCAATAAAGAAAAAAAAAACTTTTTAATGTCATTTCAGATTAAACTGATAAGTTTCCAAAGAGAAAATATGAACATCCATTTAAGATGTATTTACAGATCAACAAAAAAGTAGAAACAATACATGGAATAAACCTCTTCTAAGACATTTAGGTTTTTGGTTTTTTGTTTAAAAAAACAAAAAACACAAAACACACTAGCCCTGGCCAATTTGGATCAGCGCTTGGAGCGTCGGCCTGTGGACCAGAGAGTCCTGGTTCTGTTCCTGCTAGGGGTGCGTACCAAAAAAAAAAAAAAAAAAGGCACACTATAATAATGAACAAAATAAACTAACAAACAAAATAGACACAGACTGACAACTGTCAGAGGGGAGAGGGGTTTGGGGGCTGGTTGAAAAAGGTGAAGGGATTAAACAAACAAAAAAAAACTTCATGGATACAGACAACAGTATAGTGATTACCAGAGAGAGAGAGTGGGGGGAGGCAGAAGAGGTATGGGAGGATAAGGGTAATGAAAGGAGACTTGACTTGAGGTGGTGAACACATAACACAATATGCAGATAATGTATTACAGAATTATACACCTGAAACCTATATAATTTTATTAACCAATGTCACCCCAATAAATTAAATAAAAAAGAAAAATTAAATTTTTAAAAAAGTGTCCAATATAGTCATATCTTTTTCTACTACAGAAATCTCGGAATACTTCTGTAGTCTTTCCAACTGCAATAAAAATATCTCTCAAGTCTTACAGCTGGAAGTACAAGCCAATGGCTAAGGTCTCAGAAAGCAGAAAAAGAAACTCAGTGTCCAGGTCCCTATTAACATAACAGGTTAGACTGAAGCTGAAGAGGAATAATTCCCCAAAAGTCGTCTTCTTTCCTCTCTCAACCAGAAGGATCAACTATGCTCCCAGATTCATCACACCCGTGGTCCTGGTTTACTTAATCACTGCCAGCACTTATCCCAGTCAAGTCTTCAACTTTATACACTGAACATGTTTTATTTTTTTCAATGTTAGGTATCTCTTAAATCTGTACGTGATTCATCTGTGATCATACAGGATAAATGCAACCCAGAAACAGGTTGAGGGTCATCAAATCTCAATTTCTCAAGGCCCTCCCTGCCTCCCTTCCCTCTACTGTTTTTTTTTTTTTTATCCTCACCCGAGGATATTTTTCCATTTTTTGTACAGATAGAGTGGGAGGGAGAGAGAGGAACAGAGAGAGAGAGAGAAACATCGACGTGAAGGGACACATCGAGTGGCTGCCACCCGCACAACCAACCAGGGCCGGGGACAAACTGCAACCGAAGTACGTGCCCTTAGCGGGAACCGAACCCAGGTCTCTCCGGACCGCAGGCCGACGCTCTAACAGCTGAGCCAAACTGGCCAGGGCTGTTTTGTATTTTTTAACATCCTGCAACCAGCCCAGCCGGTGTGGCTCAGTGGATTGAGCATCACCCCATGGACTGAGAGGTCCCAGTTCTATCCCTGGTCAGGGCACATGCCTGGGTTGCAAGCTCGATCCCCAGTAGGGGGAATACAGGAGGCAGCCAATCAATGTTTCTCTCTCACATCGATGTTTCACTCTCTCCCTTCCTCTTTCTCTAGAAAAAATAATAAAATAAAAACATTACTTAAAAGAAACTATTTTAAACACACACACACACACACACACACACACACACACACACACATCCTGCTACCACTTAAGGGGAATTTCTCGTCTCTTCAGCCGTCTGCCCATGCCCTGCTCCATCTGTTCCACTCTCTGGTTATAGAGCTGCAGAACTGATGGTGCCAAAGAGGAATAAGGATGTGAAGCCATCAAGGAAGAAGATGAGTCTGAAGATTACCAACTATGGCCCTGGCCGGGTTGGCTCAGCAGTTAGAGCGGTAGCTCAGAGACCAAAGAGTTGGGGGTTCAATTCCGGTCAAGGGCACATACCTTGGTTTCGGTTCGTCCCCAGCCCTGGTCAGTGTCGTGTGGGAGGCAACCAATCGATGTGTCCCTCTCACACTGATGTTTCTCTCTTTCTCCCTCCCTCCCTCTCACTCTATCTGAAGATAAATAAAAAATATCATCGGGTGAGGATTAAAAAAAATTACCAACTATCAACCTGGTGGTTCACATACGTCCTCATCTAATCCTCACACCAGCCAGATATGGTATTATTATCCCAATGTTTTAGAAGGAAAAAATAGACTCTGAAAGATAAGGAACCTGCCTGAGGACTCGAGTAACCAACCACCTCAGTTTGCCTGAGACTTTGCGGGTTCCAGGGATTTGGGACTTGCAAGTTTTTTGTTGTTGTTTATTTTAATCCTCACCCAAGGATATTTTTCCATTTACCTCAGACAGAGTGGGAGTGGGGGAGAGAGAGAAACATCGATGTGATAGCGACACATCAACTGATTGCCTCCTGCATGACCCCGACCAGGGAGAGTACAAAACCCAACCGAGATACATACCCTTGACCAGAATCGAACCGCAACTCTTTGGTCCAAGGGCCGACGCTCTAACCGCTGAGCAAAACTGGCCAGGGCAGGACTTCCAATTTTAAAACTGCAACGGTCTTGGGCAAAGTTGGTCACCCTACTAAGTACACACAGCCCATCATTACTCTTTTACAGGTTCAGATTTGGGCCAGGTCAGTTGGGCTCTGCACTTTCTCCCAGAACTCCTACTTCTTCCAAACTAAAGTCCATCTCAAACCTCAGAAGCCCCATTATTTACTCACAGGTTCCTCGGTCTAACCAAATTCTGATGAAAAATATTCAGCCCGTTATTATTCTATCTTTTCCTCTGTAATGGATACAAATTCATCTGAACTCCCTAATACAGTGTACCCAAAGGACCACCTCTGGCAACTTGAATGGGGCAGTGAAAATTAAATGGCAAAAGGAGCTATTTCAACCCTGTTTCTCCTTAATCATCATAGTATTTAAACCCCTTTGGGGGTGAAAAGTAGGGCAGTGGTTAGGGAACTAAAAAATAAATTGTTCTTGCTTCAAGGATGTGAAGGTAGGAGTGAGCCTATTTCCCCCCCCCACAGGGCACTGAGGCAAAGATGAACATTCTAATTTAAAACAAACAAGTAAAGGTAGTATAAAAAAGTATAGGCAGCCCTAGCCGGTTTGGCTCAGCGGTTAGAGCATCGGCCTGCGGTCCGGAGAGACCCGGGTTCGGTTCCCGCTAAGGGCATGTACCTCGGTTGCAGTTTGTCCCCGGCCCTGGTTGGTCGTGCGGGTGGCAGCCACTCGATGTGTCCCTTTCACATCGATGTTTCTCTCTCTCTCTTCCTCTCCCTCCCACTCTATCTGTACAAAAAATGGAAAAGTGTCCTCGGGTGAGGATAAAAAAAAAAAAAAGTATAGGCAGAGCAGTTCCTAGGGTCCGCATGTTTTCAGGGGTGGTATTAGATAGCCGAGGAGTTGGTGGTGGCTTGCAATGGGGTGTGTCTAAGGTTTACACCACCAAGAGGCCTCGGCCCTGCCCCTAACCCTCATTTTCCAATGCACCATCCCAACTCCTCAGAACCCCAGTCTTGGCTTTGGGCTTACTGCCTTCTCCACTATTTCTGTGTCCCTAGTCCCAGACGCCACCAATAAGAATTAAAGAAGAATTGGGAGAGGGTGGTGCCAAGAATGTGCTTCTGGCACCCAAGCAGGAACTATCTCATGCATATTTCTTCAAGAAAATATATTTTTCCAAACAACTCAATGTTATACAGAAACTATTGTAGCAAAACTGGATGCAAAGTACTTCTCAAAGGCAACAGGGCTTTACTGCCACAGTATCTCAGGCAGTGCTCAGAAGACCGTTTAAAAAGTAATATTTATTAAATGAATTTTCCATGCTTGAGAAATTCCTTTGGTCCCATTTCACTGGCTCCCAGCACATGAGACACCGACAATGAGTCAGTGGATGCTCCCTACACTTTTACTATTCAAAGTGTGTTCCAAGGGATGGCTCCATCTGCACCACCTGGGGCCTTACCAAGTCAGAATCCGCCTTAAAAATGTAAAAATAAAAACATTTTAACACCCCACCCCCCCAAGCTCCCTGGGTAATCAGAATGACATTCAAGTTGGAGAAGCTCTGCCTTATGTTTGCTATATATAAATCCTTTCAATCACCAACTCCAATCTCTACATCAGCGTGAGGAAAGATGGGGTGCACACCTTGCACGGAGGCAGCCTTTAACTCATCGTGGGGTTGGGGCACGTGTCATCCCGGGGCGCCCTCGCTCCCTGACAGTCCCCCACGCGCTCACCTTGATGCGCTCCCCATCAATCTCCACGGCTCGTTCTCGGAAATCCACCCCGATGGTAGCCTCGGTGCGGTCGGGGAAGCGGCCGGCGCAGAAGCGGTAGGTCAGGCACGTTTTGCCCACGTTGGAGTCGCCGATCACGATGATCTTGAAGATGCGGGAGCGTGCCGGCGGCAAAAACACTGAGGACCCCGACAGCGCTCCGCTGGACGTGAAGCTCGCCTCCAGCGACGACTCCATCTCCGAAGCCATTCTCCTGCCCCGCCCCGCACGGAGGCCGAGGGAAGGAGATGCAGACCCGCAGGGAAATTACGCCACCGCGAGCGAGCGAGCACGCCCAGCCCGCAGGACCGGCTGCGCGACGTCGCCGGAGCCACCAGCCCCAGGCCCGCCGCGCGCGTGCGCACCTCCGGCCCCGCCCCCGCCGCGCAGGTGAGGCGCCCACCCGCCCGGCCTCGCGGCCCTACCCCGGGGCCTGCGCCTCCACCCCAGCGTCACTCGGGCCGGCACCCGTCCACCTGGGAGGGCCCGGGACCTATCGGGGCGTGACCGCGGCGCGCGAGGCCTGACTGCGGAGGACCAAGCGGAGCGGCCCAGGCCCGGCACCCTGGCTGGCCCGGTCCCGCCACGTCCAAGGCCTCCACCCTCCAGAGGAAGCCGCGCAATCAGCGGGGCGGGGAGAGACGGGGGCAGGAAGGCGGGATCACCGGCGCGCTCTCGCGAGAGGGCGGAAGAGCCGCCTCTGCCCGGGGCGTGCGCCTGGGGAGGGTCCGCTAGGTGGTCGGAAGGCTCGGGCATCGCGGGGCGGTGCCGTCGTCGACCTATGGTTGGGCTTCCCCGGGCTTGCAGGTGGGGGCGGCTTCCCCGTCCCGCCGCTGGGGGACGCGGCGTGGGCCGCGCTCCCTGCCTCCTGGGGGCTGTCCGGACCGCGGGAGTCGGGACAGCGACCTGGGCTGGGGCGGGTGGGACGCGAGGGGCCGCCGGGAGCCGGCCCCGCGCAGGAAGCCCCTGGGCCGAGCTGCGGGCCGCGCCGAGCTGGGCCGCCCCAGGGTTGGCAGGCGCTCGGGCGTGGGGGGCAGGCGCGAGGTCGAGGCCGCCCACCGCGTGGGCTGGGCCCTCGTGAGGGTATCCGCGCTCGTTTGGCCAATGCCCCCGGCCAACAAGTAGAGTGGACAGCATGTGGGCCTTGGGGGGCATTGCATCCTGGAGTCATAACCACACGGCCTCTCTGATGAGAATAAAACCCATTACGCCCTAGTTTTGTCAAATGCCTGCGTGAAGATGCAGCCATTGAATATTACCGAGCGCGCAGTAGTTGTCTTTGGCAAACTACCTAATTGACAAGACGACGCGGCCTTCTCTGGATTACCCTGAAGTCTTCAGAAGAAACCTCGCAAACATTAAGTTGTACAGAAGGTTCAAAATGTGCAAACGTTGTTTTTTTGTGAAAAGTTGTTTTGCTTTGCAATGATAGGCTTTTTTTCCTATCATTGAGCAAATGGTTATACCATTTTGAAAGTCAAGGACTATGGAGAGGAGTCTGAGAAAATTAGTAGTAGAACCTGAGCATGCCCAGGGTTAACAGGACTTTGCAAAGCCTTATATACAGTAATTTCTGTTGCAGTAGAAAATCTATAGTCACTAACATACTAAGTTATGTTAGCCAGGAAGAAAAGTTTGCTCACCTGGTTGAATGTGTATGCTAGTTCCATTTATTCAGTTTCCTGTTACAGGAATTAGAACATGGGCTGGAAGATTCTAATTGTGAAGTTATGTTCATGAAAATTAATCATCCCAGAAACTATTAGCCTTGGAATATATTCCTCTAATATACTCTGCCTATATCCCATTCAAAGGAGAGAATATGAAGATTTAGGACAAAAAGCAGTTGAAGAATTCAAAGATATGGATAATCATACAATTTCAGAGGATGGTGAAAAAAGCATCAACATCTTTGCACCCAAAGACCCTTGTTTTTTGTTTTTGTATTCTGGCCTTTTTGGGTTAGCTCTTGCTAAACTACATCAGAAATTCTTTACCTTGTCTGTTTATCCAAATCCTATTCATATTTCACATCCTAACTCAAAGTTTTGTTTCTGTGAAGCTTTTTTTTATTAGTTCAGCTCAGAAATGTTCTTTGCTCTACTTTAAGTCTAATACACTTTTGGCAGAATTGCTCATGTGGTCTTTGAATGCTGTCTTCAGTGTTTCCTAATGATGTGTTCTATCTTCCCAACTGGATTGTTAATTCCTGATTATGGACTAAAAGCTCATTGTTATTCTGCAAATGATGAATAAATAGTGAAGTGAGAAATTTCTTGTGTAAAGCTTGTCAATTTGAACCCTTTACCAATTATAAACAGTTTACCACTTATGGAAAAAATCATTGTAGATACTGGACATGGGTAGGAGCTTTGTAGTATTTTCAGCTTGCAGTTGGAGAGACTCGTCATGTGACTATAATATATGTTACTCTTGATTCAGTAAACCGAGAACTTCCAGATTTTATATTGAAGGAAATTCTGTTGGGAAGAGTGGACTTTTTAAAAGTGGGTAAATTTTTAAAAGTCATCTTTCTCGTTTTTAAATCTCACAGTTTAAATCTCACAATTTAAAGCAAAAATAATAGCAATATACTGTGGGGATTATAACACATAGAAAGCAGGTGTATGCCCACAGTCTCACAAAGAATGGGAGGGGAAACTGAAACTATATCTTACACTCTATGTGTTGTAGTATGGTATTATTTGAATGTAGACTGTGATGAGTTAAAGATGAATACTGTAAAACATAAAAGAATTAAAGTAATAAAACAAGCATAGCTAAACAGCCAACAGAAGAATTAAAATGGAATACTACAAATTAGTCCAAAAGGAGCCAAGAAAAGAGGAAAAATAAGTAAAAATGTAGATTGGTCAGAGAGAAAACAAATAACTATATCGAAAATTAATTGTAGTACTGGCCAGGTGGGTTGGTTGGTTGGTGAGTTGCCCTGTGCACCAAAAGGTTGCAAGTTCAATCCCCATCAGGGTGCATACAGGAGGCAACTGATGGATGTTTCTCTCTGTCTCTCTAAAATAAATAAAACAATATCCTCGGATGAAGTTTTAAAAAAATTCATTGTAAATGTTCTAAAAACTGCAATAAAAAAGAAGACATACTTCTCTAAATAAAAAAGCAAGGCCCAATTATGTACTGTTTACCAAAAAAAAGGCATCACTAACATAAAGATACCGCCAAGTTCAAAGTAAATTGATGGAGAAATATGTAAACAGAGTAAAGCTGGAACACCAATATTAATGTTAGACAAAGTAGACTTCAGGAAAAGAAATTTGGCCTGTCTTCAACACGAGATAAAGAGGGACATTTCATAATAATAAAAGGTCCAATTCATCAAGAAGATATAGTAGCAAAGCTTCAAATTACATGAAGTATAGACAAAACGGGGGGGAAAATCAACAAATCCCACAATTACAGCTGAGATTTCAATAGTCTGCCCTCAGTCTTTGATAGACAAGTAGACTTTAAAAATCAGTAATGTGGCCTGGCTGGTGTGGCTTAGTGGATGAGCATCGACCCATGCACCAAGAGGTTGCTGGTTCGGTTCCCGTTCAGGGCACATGCCCAGGTTGTGGGCCCAGTCCCCAATGCGAAGCATGCAGGAGGCGGCCAATCAATGTTCTCTCTCATCAGTGTTTCACCTTCTCCCTTCCTCTCTCTCTAAAATCAAGAAAAAATATTTTTTAAAAAAATGAGTAATTATATGTCAACTCTAATTTTAAAAATTACTGTGCTGAGGGAAAGAAGTCAGATTTTTAAAAAAAATATATATAATTTCATTTACATAAAACTAAAAATTGCAGTCCTGACCAAGTAGCTCAGTTGGCTAGAGCATTGTCCTGATACGTCAAGGTTGTGGGTTCTTCTATCCTTGGTCAGGGCACATACAAGAATCAACCAACAAACGCATAAATAAGTGGAACAACTGATGTTTTTCTCTCTCATATCAATAAAAATGAAAAACTAAAAAATGCAAACTTTATAGATAAAGCTGAGATTGGGGGCTGGGCTGGGCAGAAGGGATGGATTACAAAAGAGCATGAGGAAAATTCTGGGGTGATGGATATGTTCATTACTTTATGGTGATGATTTTACGAGTGTGCACATGTGTCTGTTGTGTATTTTAAATGTGAGCAGTATATTATATGCAAATTATACCTCAATAAAACTTTAAAAAAATACACTTCCATTTGAGGACCATCAACTTCCTCTTTTATACCATTTTATGTCAAATCTGAGTAAAACATTAGTATACAGTTTTAATAAGATCAGTGTGTGTGTGTTTTAATTTCAGAACCAAATAAAATAATCATGATAAAGACAAAAATACTTACATGATTAGTTATAAACTATTATAGTTAAATGGGTAAGTACCTTGCATAGGGTACAATGGTCCACAATAGATTGAAATTGCTCGATTTTATCAGGGAATAAATACTAAGGAATATTTAAATTCAGAGTATAAGTAGATAATGGAATAGTCTTGTTACTACTTCATGCAATAATGTAAAGACAGGTCATTCATTGAGAGAAAATGTCACATTAATTTCTTCATTTAGATTTAAACTGTAGAGAGAATATTGTGATCTAGTTGTTGAATACTGAGTATATTGTTGAAATATTCCTGACAGTATTCAATTTCTTTTATGTAGCTATTCGAGGAACATGCAGAAGGCCCCAACCGATTACATTTCCTTGTCAAGCGTGTGAAGATGACTGCGATAGTGTGGTTTAACACTGTCCCAGGCAAGTGACTGTATTCTATGACTGCCTCATGCTCAAGGCTCCTGTTTTACACACACACTTCGAGCAAATCAAAAATAAAACCAACTTGATGCTGGCCCTAAGGAGATTAGTCTGGTCAGGGAGACGGCATTCCAGTATAATGTGGTGGGTGCTATGAGAGCAAACGTTCAGGAACTATGTAAGCTCAAAGAGCACCCGGAGGCCCGGGTTCGGTTCCTGCTAAGGGCACGTACCTCAGTTGCAGTTTGTCCCTGGCCCTGGTTGGGGTCGTGTGGGTGGCAGCCACTCAATGTGTCTCTCTCACCTCGATGTTTCTCTCTCTCTCTCTTCCTCCCCCTCTCCCTCCTGCCCTATCTGAAGATAAATGGGGGAAAAAAATGTCCTTAGGTGAAGATTTGAAAAAAAGAGCACCAGGAGGACTTGGGGGTTTAGGTAGACCAGTGGGAAGAAGCTCATCTAAAATGAAACAGTAAGAGAGCTGATGAGACAATTAGGTTAGAGAGGAGAGGAGAGGTGAGATTCTGCGCCCTGTACGTGCTTT